TGTTCTGTTTTCTTTCAAGATGATCCCACACTGCTTCAGTAATGCTGAAAAACGAAGCCGTTAATTGTCAGTTTTCCAGATGATATTGCATGATAGATCAAAATCTGATGGTATATTTATAATTTCAATAAATTTTGACAAGATCCCCAACACCACTGGATGAAATACAGCCTCAAATCATAATAGATCCTCCACTGTGTTTTACAAATGGCTGAAGACTCCCTGCTGAACTTCTTTCCTGACCTCGTCTGCACATACTGATGATAATTTGATCTAAAATGTTGAATTTGTTGAATTTCATCACTCAGTCAGACCTGTTGGCACTTACTTTTAGTCCAGCGAGAGACTGGAAAACTTTGTCAATGGATTCTGATGTGAGTCGATGAGTCAGTCAATCTCATTTCTGGCCAATGACAGTGATGCTGTACGTGCTGCTAATTTAGCTGGCGTTAACTACTGTCAGCTCATGTTAATGAAACTTGCATTTTAATATTGTTGAACTCTGACACTTGCTGAATAAACGCTCATACGATGTATGAATGTAATCAAAATTTTTATCAGAGGGAAAGCGTGACTTTGGGACACTCAAGTCTAACATTAGCTGGCATAATATTAGCTTATAAGCAGCTGTTGTTGTTTAGCTGGGTCTTGTCAGCTGTTTGGAGATGAGACGGTCAAATGAGTGATCTACGGACAATTGTGAGAATATCAGGAAAAAATAAGGATGTTTATACATGTTTTAGTGTGTTAGAGCCCTGTCCTCAGTTCAGGAGATGAGACTTGAAGTGAGGAGGAAGAGGATGAGCTTGAAATGAGGGAGGAGAGAGATGGTGGATGATGTATATGAGGAGGAGTAGGAGTAAGAAATAATGAGAATGAGATGATGAAAATATATATAAAATATATAATTTTAAATGGTCGCATGTAGCTTGGAAGAGCTATTTTTGATTTTTAAATTAAAGGTAACTTATAAGGCATACTACAGATGTGTTCTCTAGCCACATACATAAAACGAGACTGAACAGCAGATCTTTTCTAATGAGGCATCACAGTAGATGGACTGTTCTATTGTATCATTTTAATACACAGCAGCTCAATATTCTAATGAATTTCTACTGTTCAATTTAAGCCTAAAAGCAATTTCTGTTTCCATATATTCCTTTATCACCTCTCACACATACAAAACATTCCTCTGAATCAGGTACAAAGACTGGACTGAAAAATTTGTAAAAAAATAAAAATAAAAAATAAAAAATAAAAAAAAAAGCTGGACAACTATTGCTCAAGAGAATTAAAAAAAAAAGTCTGGCTCTTTGGAATCATAATATAAAGGAATTAGGAATGGCTCAAGACTTGTGCACCGAATTGCATATAAACCACTCAAAGTAAGGAAACACTCGATAATTGCAGTATAACACAAAGTCAGTTAAACTTTAGATAACAGTCTATTCAGGTGGGAAGGATATGCTATATTGTCAACCCATTTCACCTACTTTAGTACAAATCAAATTTTGACACTGAAGAACTAGAAAGACAACAAGAAGACAACTCAGAAAAAGGGAATAGTTTAACATGTAGTGGCCAAAGAGTATTGATTGTTCTTCCCATATCCTTGACTGCTCTTTTTAAAATTTTGGCTAGTGTTCTTGTCACTACATTTAGCATAAGAACACACCTACATGGAGCAGACCAGTATCGGCTCCTTTGCAAGAAGGAACAGGAGGAGCACTGCCAGAGTGCTCTCCATCAGACAACCTGAGCATGATTCTGGCTGAACTGTGAAACAGGTTAGTGCATGATGTAGCTCAATTGGGATTTGAAACCGACCTCCACAACTGACAGGGCCACCACACCCATTCTTGTCACGAATGAGAGCAGGGTCACACTGGGGACATGTGATACACATGAAAGAGTCTGGAGATGCAGTGGTTAATATTATGCTG